GCTTTGCCAATTACACGCACTCTGCACAAATACAAACATAAGATTACACAACCTATCAATCATATACATACATACAAACATAAAAATTTATTTAAACACGTTAGTCGTAACATCTTTCGATGATTTCCATAGGGGAAGTGACACTGTGTTAAGACTATATATCCATCATACAAACTATTTACATAATTATTCGTTAGACAATTAGCGAACATAAATAAATAACAAACATACAAAACTGTTTACATACTTATTGTTTTCGAAAATGTAGCTTCATTAGTCTTTTGAAACAACTCATAGAATTGGATTGTTTTGCAGTAATTGATAAATTATTCCAAAGAGTTGCTCCACTATAACTGAAGGACTTTTTCTTAAATTGTGATTTTGGGAATGGAAGTACCAGATCTGTTTGAGAATTTCGTAATTGATGTATAATTGGACAATCACTTATTTTCAAAAAATTTTCTTTCAGGTTTGGAGCAGTTTCATTATTTAAGATTTTGTAAATAAAAATGGATTTCAAGTTCAATTTTTAGTTGCAAGAACATCGGCCGACCTAATATCATAAGATGCTCCTGTTATTACTCTAGAAGCTCGGGATTGACATTTTTGTAGTTTTTCCTTTAAGACGGTTCGACAGTTATCCCACAATAGTAGACAAAATAGGGCTGTATTAAGGCGTTGTAAACTGTTTGTAAGAATTCCTGAGGAATATAGGTTTTCATTCGTTTAATTACTGCAATGCCAGCATTAACTTTCTTAATAATCATATCAATATGGTGTTCCCAGTTTAATTTTTCGTCTAAAGTGGCACCGAGGCATTTATAGCAATTTACTCTTGGGACAGGAACATTGTTAATTAATATCGGTATTCCTTGAGGTATATTCTTAATTTTATAAGGGGATGCAATAAACATACATTTAGATTCCTTAGGATGAATTTGTAGCTTACTATTCTTCATCCATTGCGTAATAATATTTAGGTCATAATTTATGTTATCAATAAGATCATTTACATTGTGTGACGCATAAATTTCCATGTCATCGGCATATAGACCCTGCGTGGGTTTTTTGAGACATTGTGGTAGGTCATTGATGTACATGTAGAGCAAAAATAACAACGGCCCCAGGATCGACCCCTGGGCGACCCCACATTTTAATTTTCCAACGGAGGATAGTATCCCATTAGCTACGCATTGTTGTTCCGTATTCGTTAGGTATGATTCAAACCAGAGTAATTCATTACCACAAATGCCAAAGTTGGATGTCATTTTACTTAATAAATTCAATAGCAATATTGTAGTAGATTAATTACGAGTCTACCCCCAACATAACATGTAACATTTTAAAAGTATTAGTAGCAGTGAATATTACTACCATTTATATTCATTAGGAGTGCAATGAATCATAGTTATTTCTGGAAATTGTGTAATCAATATAGTAATTCGAAATTTTATACTGCATTTTGTCTTTAGTAACTGGGAAAGCGAAAAAGTTATAAAATGGAAAAGATCTGTTCTTTTTTCGGTTTGGGAAATATTTCCTAAAAATCCCCTTTGAATTTCAGGGGGGGGGGGGGAATAATTTGTTGCAGATATGCTACATTGCTGCTTAAGGGTAAAAAAGATACAATAACTAGAAAATATATTTTATTGAAGAACCAACAGATTTTTGTTGGTTTTGTGATACCATACAGATGTAAATGCATTTTCCTTGAATTATATATAATACAGCATGTTATATATTGGTATAGTATATTTATAATATATATATATATATATATATATATATATATATATATATATATATATATATATATATATATATATATATATATATATATATATATATATATATATATATATATATATATATATATATATATACAGTATATATAGTATATATAGTATATATCGTATATATAGTATATATTATATACATCGTATAGATAGTATATATAGTATATATAATATATATAACATATATAGTGTATATAGTGTATATAGTATATATAATTTGTATAATATATATATAATATATATAGTATATATAGTATATATATAAATATATATATTTGTATATATAGTATATATATAGTATATACAGTATAATATATTCGCAACATTAGATATAGAAAAGTTCTTGTTCACAATGAAAGTTATTTATTATGGTTGTCCAGAAAACAGTTTTCTCCCTCTCTAAGCAGAGACAAATCTTACATTTGCCGCAAAATATTTTGGAAAGCCCATCTTTACAATGGCGACATCGACTGCGGTTACCATTCACGGGGTTGGGCCAATGTCCAAGTTGGTCATACTGTGTATCATTTGATGGTACAGGTGTGGTGGGTTTGTGACCAACCTTTGCTGATGGACCATCTGCCTCAGACAATTTTCATTTGCTTGGTCTACTTGGCTTACGACTGGTTGTTTCCATGGGAACAACTTTGTTGGCACTGATCAAACTCTCGGAAATTTTCAAAACAAAGTCCAGCAATGACAAGCTTCATTTCTTTCGAATTCTCAACTGATCACAATGCCTGCAGTAGAGCAGCCCGGCATTGACCTTTGTTTGTATCAGACTTGAAGTCCATGGTGCTACGTACCGCTTTATTGCCGTCCTTGTTGGGTTGTAATGAACATCCTTGAAGGCGGAATAAATATTCAGCTCACTCCCTACTAGACTATGGCTCTATATATTTGTAACATGAATTGTAATAGTGCTTCGGTGTCAACTTTTCATGTTTGAGGAAACATGACGAATCCTATTACCGGGATGAAACCTACAACTTCCGGCAGAGTGTTCGCTTGTTTATTTTCACATGAGAAACTCATAGGGTTCGCAGCCGAGAAACGAGGCCACTATATTCAGAGGGGAGAACTTAATATGGATCTGACCACTGTAGCACTGAAGCTCATGAACATGATGAAAAGGGATAAAATCAAGCTTACAATAGTTTTACTAATACATAGTATATACACAGTATGAGCATATATATACATAAACACAAAAAGCAGGGTAGAATAGAATGTTCAACTGGTTTAACCTGCAGCCAAGAGGCCCAATACTGAAGACAAAAGAAATATTTACTTGTTGCAACTATATTCAAAGGAAATTGCAGTAAAATACAGCACATGTTGTGTCTTTTATTAAAAATATAGTGTTCATGTAATCTGAGCTTCAGTGACCACTTCGCGGCAATGTAGCAGATATGCTACAAATATCTTTATGAAATTATTCAATACATACAAACGAATTTATACAAACACACAAATACGATATGAAAAGACTGCCTTATGTCAAATTATAATATACTAAAACTTATACCCTAGAGCGCTTTACAAAGATAGAACATTGTCACGAACTTAGAGCTTTAAAACTTACCGAAATCACTGTGATTTGGATATCATTTTCTCGGTCTAAAAGCCACTTTGGTAAAAATTTTCGCCATTACAACAATGTCAACAACGTGGGCTGTATTGCATTGTGGGTAAAAGAAGAAACTAGACCCAGACTGCGAAAAATTCGCGCACTTTTCTATTTGTAGCAGATCTGCTACACTGCCGCTTAAAGGGTTAAATGCGTCGCACGCGCTAGAAGAGTCATTTCAACCAACGCAACTACGCCGCGATCGACATCGTCAGCTGTTGGTGTGTACTCGATTCCACCGGTACTTGTTATAAGGAAACTGTGAAGTTCCCTCAAGGTTTGATGTTCCTTAGGTTTATTCAATAAACTTCCCCACGCACCAGAGCCAAACCTTGACATATCTGAAGCGATCAGCACTTGCGTGATACCGGATACGGCTTTGAGCACTTTTACGAGCTCGTGTAAAACACGCAGGCAGCTTTGTAGTCGGAAAAATTATGCGCCAAAAGAACCTTTTCCCCTCGGACATGCACAGCAATGTAAGGCCCATGTAACACACGACGAAACCTATTCGCTTCCTTCAAAATAGCTTCCGATGGTTTGAGTGCAAAATGTAGGTCTCTCTCATGAAATTTGAGATGTTTGCTAGAGAAGTGGGTTCTGAAACTTCTTCCTATTCCACGCCAATTCGAGAGCGTCAAACATTTTGCACCTTTGATGACTTTATTTTCTAACTTGTCCCATTCAGTGAACTTACTAACGTTGACGCAAAAAAATTTCGTCTTCGAGTTTTCTTTGATGTAGTTCCTGAGGATCGGGCATTCTGTCCAACCAACCTTTCCTGCTTTTTTGTTGATGTCATCATACTGTTTTTCATTCAATTGCAACATCTGTTTTGTTTTTTCCTCGTTACCTTCATAAAGAAAGTATATGGCCACGTGAGTTGCGTCGGCCAATGAGCATTCAGCTTCGTAGTCTTTCTCACCGATCAAAGTTGCGTAATCGCCAAAAATGAGTACCTGATTAAAATGCGTCACATTGAAATAGGTTTCCAGGGAGTACCCATTATCTGCACCAAACAGAGAATTATTTACTCTCGGTGCTTGGACTTTTCTATTTCCAAATTTCGCTTGGCCTGCCAGGCTGATTAAAGCGCGAGTACTCATAGTCATTTGCTCCCAATAGCGCGAAACCCGAACAAAACCTGCGGCCTTTTGTGATGCCATAGAAATTGAGCGATTGTTAGTAGCAAATTCAATTTTCTTCGGAAATAAGGGCTTAACGATGTTGAGTGCGATACTACTATTTTTATCTCCACGCTCGTCTGAACCATCCAAATATTCTATCGTTATCTGCCCGCCAAAACAGTTCTGTAGTTTACTTGCATGCTCGAATGTCATAAAAGTAAAATTTCTGAAAAGTTCGTCATTTATTTTCACACTAGTAGATATTGAATATTCATGGCTGCCAATTGATGAACGATATTGTCATATAATAAAAAGCCCCACAATTATAATTCCAATGATGTGTCTAAACTTTCTTGCCATTATCGAAAACCTGTACACAAAGAAGGAAAATTATTTGAAACGAGTTCTGAGTTTACCCTAGCTAAATATTCTGTCAATTTTGCACTATAGACAATTTTGCACGCCATTTGTTTTTTTCTATTAATAGTGAATAGGTTTACATGTCACTGCGACTCATTCCATAGAATCAATCTATTTCGAATTTTATTGGAACAAATTAAAATATTGTATACAAAGCAAGGGAAACAATTTGAAATCATGAGTTGTAAAAATATACCTGATATTCCCATAGCATCCGCGCCAAGATTTTTATTAGTTTTTGAATTTGAAGCCGTATATATTGATCTTCCCCCCAAAACAATCCAAATACCGGCAAAGTGTGAAATAATTTTGAAGTCAAAACTGGAGATATACTTTATACTATATCTTTTAAGCTAGCGAAGCTAAATTTACACCGTAAGCTGTTACGAACTCTAAAGTTGTCTGAAAAATTCTGTAACAAAGGACAGGTGAAATTTGTCTCTCTCTTTGTCAGCTTCCAGTACGTGTTCTTATCAAATACAACACCCTGCATTGTCAATTTGCTTTCAGCATGAACAATATTCTACATGCAGATTGAACAGTGAACTACCTGAAAATGTAAATAGATGGCTTTTCGAGTGAAGGCCTTGATGCCTCTGGGGCCGTTGCGAGATACGTTGTAATTATTTCTCTCATATATACTATATAATTATCAGATCATTCAACCAAGTTTGTGTATATTTATCAGAGTAGAGATTGTATGAAAAGTATATTTTGATATCCTATAAGAAAGTAATCTTATAATTGTTGTTATAAAGATAAAATGGTCTAGGGCAAGCTAATTATGTAATTAGGTAAGCGTAATATTTGATGTAAAGCGAATGATATATACATGTAACTCTACGCCATATAAATGAAATGTTATTAATCGTAAGATAACCGTGCTTTCCTAACTATATTTATCTTAATAACTTAATAACTTTATAACTTTATGGTTTATCTAGACCGTAAGCTGTCCCTCGGGGAGAAAGGAGGGATCTCCGACAACACATCAAGAAACGAAATATGCCCACTTTTCGCTCTTGTCAAAATTGGCTCCGCCTTTTTATAAATATTACTTATATCCGATTAAATCTATCCAATAGGAACCGTCAGTCTGGAAATTATTTATAGCATAATTACTACGTATCAGATTTGATTGACAGGCGTATCGATTTCGACCAATGGGAATTTTGCGTTGTGTGGGCAACGGGTATTTCGTTCTTGATGAGTTGTCGGCAGTCCCTCCTTTACTTTCGCATGCCCGGAAATCTAAACCCGCGAAAAGCTAGGAGGGACAGCTCGCAGTCTAATGTTTATCTATGGTTTATCCTAATTTATTTATTTATTTATTTAGCTTCGCCTTGACAAAAAACGTACACAATACAAGTACAACAATTCATATACATGAGACATAACAAGAGGCGGGGGCACCACAACAATTTACACCATTTACTGTGGACCCTTTAGTTAAAATTAGTGACAAATTAGAGATGAAAAAATCAATTAATTAGTCTAGTAGCATTGCAACAGGCATCGGCATCGATTACTGATTGCGCGATGTGTTGCACCTGTGGTTGCACTTCAGGCAAACATTTTTCCAGGTTCGAGCATCATCCACGTCGGAACAAGATTCGGAACAAGATACAAGGGCATTATGGTAGTATTCTAATAGTGACTTTTTAAATAACGTTACAGATAAATGATCAAGTCTTAAGTGTTCGGATAAAGAGTTCCAGGTTGTAGTTGCTCTAATAAAAAATGACCGTTGATAGGTGCATGGCTGTCTTACATCTACGAGGACGGTACGAGATAACACTGTTATTTGAAGATGATCGAGTAAGCCTTGAGGGAATAGATTGTTTCGGCAAGATTTGCTTCGCGGAACAGTTATAATACCATTTATGGCCTTAAAATCCTAACTTAAGGCCACTATTTGTTGCATATTAGTTTCTCATCCGGGGCTTCACCTAAAGTTGATGCGGGCGGGCGGGCCATTACCATTATGCCATTATTTATAGCATTGCAAAACAGCACAAAATTAGTGAATGCAACTGAAACCATGTTTTTATATTAAAAACATGACCACTCCACATGACCACATGTGAAATAATCACAGAAAAGAGAAATAATTTTGTAGCCAAGTCGTCTCGCGTTTTTTTCCCTGCCCCTGGCTTCCTGTAGAACGCGTAAACGCGAGAGAACTGGCAGTTTTGGTATAAAATTTCGTATCTAAACTGAAACTTTTGGTTTGGGAACGTTTCTAATTGTCTTTTTTTCAAATATCATTTTGAAGACATCACAAAATTTATAATAATGGTCAAAAATGGCAATAATGGTAATAATGGCGAACAAGACCATTTTCTTAAAAAGCATGCGGGCGGGGATGAGAAACTAATATACAACAAATAGTGGCCTTACTCTGTCAACTTTCCCCGTTGGAAGAATATGGATCCATGACTTTCGGGAGAGCGTTGACAGGCTCTTTCAAACGAGTCGGTAACGAGAGTCAAAGCGACGGGGCGCTTGATCTGACGATTGTGCCAACAAAGGACCCTCCTGCTATAAATATTGCTTCGGCAATTTCGAGATTCTTAATCAGAACACATTGTGATTAGCGACCATTGTGGTTGATTATCTTCACGATGGATTTCTAGGAATTTTGCAACAATCAATTCTTGGAAAGATCCCTTGCCTACTGTTATTAAATGCGTCGCACGCGCTAGAAGAGTCATTTCAACCAACGCAACTACGCCGCGATCGACATCGTCAGCTGTTGGTGTGTACTCGATTCCACCGGTACTTGTTATAAGGAAACTGTGAAGTTCCCTCAAGGTTTGATGTTCCTTAGGTTTATTCAATAAACTTCCCCACGCACCAGAGCCAAACCTTGACATATCTGAAGCGATCAGCACTTGCGTGATACCGGATAAAGCTTTGAGCACTTTTACGAGCTCGTGTAAAACACGCAGGCAGCTTTGTAGTCGGAAAAAATTGTGCGCCGAAAACACCTTTTCCCCTCGGACGTGCACAGCTATGTAAGGCCCACGTAACACACGACGAAACATGTTCGCTTCCTTCAAAATAGCTTCCGATGGTTTGAGTGCAAAATGTAGGTCCCTCTCATGAAATTTGAGATGTTTGCTAGAGAAGTGGGTTCTGAAACTACTTCCTATTCCACGCCAATTCGAGAGCGTCAAACATTTTGCACCTTTGATGACTTTATTTTCTAACTTGTCCCATTCAGTGAACTTACTAACGTTGACGCAAAAAAAGTTTGTCTTCGAGTTTTCTTTGGTGTAGTTTCCGAGGATCGGGCATTCTGTCCAACCAACCTTTCCTGCTTTTTTGTTGATGTCATGATACTGTTTTTCATTCAATTGCAACATCTGTTTTGTTTTTCCCTCGTTACCTTCATAAAGAAAGTATATGGCCACGTGACCTGCGTCAGCCAATGAGCATTCAGCTTCGTAGTCTTTCTCACCGACCAAAGTTGCGTAATCGCCAAAAATGAGTACCTGATTAAAATGAGTCAAATTGAAATAGGTTCCCAGAGAGTACCCATCATTTGCACCAAACAGAGAATTATTTACTCTTGGTGCTTGGACTTTTCTATTTCCGAGTTTCGCTTGGCCTGCCAGGCTGATTAAAGCGCGAGTACTCATAGTCATTTGCTCCCAATAGCGCCAAACCCGAACATAACCTGCAGTCTTTTGTGATGCCATAGAAATTGAGCGATTGCTAGTGGCGAATTCAATTTTCTTCGGAAATAAGGGCTTAACGATGTTGAGCGCGATACTACTATTTTTATCTCCACCCTCGTCTGAACCATCCAAATATTCTATCGTTATCTGCCCGCCAAAACAGTTCTGTAGTTTACTTGCATGCTCGAATGTCATAAAAGTAAAATTTCTGAAAAGTTCGTCATTTATTTTCACACTAGTAGATACTGAATATTCATGGCTGCCAATTGATGAACGATATTGCCATATAATAAAAAGCCCCACAATTATGACTCCAATGATGTGTCTAAACTTTCTTGCCATTATCGAAAACCTGTACACAAAGAAGGAAAATTATTTGAAACGAGTTTTGAGTTTACCCTAGCTAAATATTCTGTCAATTTTGCACTATAGACAATTTTGCACGATTTGGTTTTTTCTGTTAATAGTGAATAGGTTTACATGTCACTGCGACTCATTAAATAGAATCAATCTATTTCAAATTTTATTGGAACAAATTAAAACATTGTATACAAAGCAAGGGAAACAATTTGAAATCATGAGTTGTAAAAATATACCTGATATTCCCTGATAGCATCCGCGCCAAGATTTTTATTAGTTTTTGAATTTGAAGCCGTATATATTGATCTTCCCCCCAAAACAATCCAAATACCGGCAAAGTTTGAAATAATTTTGAAGTCAGAACTGGAGATATACTTTATACTAAATTTACACCGTATAAGCTGTTACGAACTCTAAAGTTGTCTGAAAAACTCTGTAACAAAGGACAGGTGAAATTTGTCTCTCTCTTTGTCAGCTTCCAGTACGTGTTCTTATCAAATACAACACCCTGCATTGTCAATTTGCTTTCAGCATGAACAATATTCTACATGTAGATTGAACAGTGAACTACCTGAAAATGTAAATAGATGGCTTTTCGAGTGAAGGCCTTGATGCCTCTGTGGCCGTTGCGAGATATACGTTGTAATTATTTCTCTCATATACTACTAGTAATTGTTTGATCATTCAACCAAGTTTGTGTATATTTATCAGAGTAGAGATTGTATGAAAAGTATATTTTGATATCCTATTCACGAGGATCTAAAACAATTGGCGGATTTTTGTAAGAAAGTAATCATACAATTGTTGTAAAGATAAAATGGTCTACGCTAATAAGCGTGATACTTGATGTAAAGCGTATATTTGATCACATCCACATATAAATTTACGCTATGGAAATGAAGTGTTAATCGTAAGATAACCGTGCTTTCCTAACTATATTTATCTTAATAACTTAATAACTTTATTGTTTATCTAGACCGTGAGCAGTCCGTCGGGGAGAAAGGAGGGATCGCCGACAACACATATGAAACGAAATATGCCCACTTTTCGCTCTTGTCAAGTTGGTTCCGCCTTTGCATAAACATTACTTATATCCAATTAAATCTATCCAATAAGAACCGTTAATGTCATGTTTATTGATAAAATCAACATTCAGTTCATTGATATCTTATATAGACTAGATAGCGCATCTCTTTTAGTAAAATTGAAGCCAAGAATATTCCAGCGGTTACGGCGGTCATGTTGGTGTTTCCCACTCGCTAATAAACGCTTAAAAAACAACAATAACTTTCACACTTGATATTTGAAGATGCTGTCAAGTCCGTTCTGCGCATCGGTTCTGCTCATAACAAAGGGGGACCCACGGATGTAAACATTGCCCAAATTTCGCATCTTTTAAACTTTTTCTGAATTGAAACTCTGGTTTATATTCATCTACTAGCATACTAAACCAGAACAGTGTTATATTTAACAAATATAAAACATTTTCCGTGTTGATATACAGTTATATCAACACTCGTGGAAATTGGGAAAACGAGAAATTGTGTGGAAACACGACGCCCGAAGGGCGGAGTGTTTTCACTTTTCACACAATTTCGAGTTTTCCCAATTTCCACGAGTCTTGATATATAACTATATGTCAATACGGAAAAAATGTTTTATATTTGTTTTATAATATAGCACAAAGAAACATAAAGAAAGAAATTTTCCGACGTTTCCGTGTTGACATTAGAGACCTTAAGATTGACGTATACGGCAAACGTCAAGCCGCTAGCGAGGTTTTTTATTTTACAACTCTATTATAATAGCTTTTACACCAGTTTTGTAATATGTTAAACTTATTAAACTTGTGCTCTTTAGCAATGATTTAAGAAAGCAAATTAACCACTAGTGATGCCATTCACCAAAGCAGTAAATTAAGATTTGGCGTTTGAAGTTGACGTTTGGCGTATAGATTTCATGCTTGAACTGCTACGAGGATTTGTAGTCGTTAAAGCATGAAATATATACGCCAAACGTCAACTTCAAACGCCAAATCTTAATTTACTGCTTTGGTGAATGGCATCACTAGTGGTTAATTTGCTTTCTTAAATCATTACTAAAGAGCACAAGTTTAATAAGTTTAACATATTTCAAAACTGGTGTAAAAGCTATAATAATAGAGTTGTAAAATAAAAATTTCGCTAGCGGTTTGACGTTTGCCTAGCCTGCATGGCAGGCGGTATTTCTACGGGCAGCGAAAATTAGGGAAGCAAAGGAAATACCGTCTGCCGCAAAACTAGGGGTTTTTGAATTACCCGTCCGCTGGTGAACGGGAAAAACGGATTGGTTAGTATTTTTATGTAGTTGTCAATCAACGGCTAAATTCGGCTAAATGTTAATCATTAACCAAATGTTTTGACGTTTTGAAACTCTGCGTTTTGAAATTAGTTCACGTCAAGTCAGACCAGAAATGGAATAACATAATAGAAGAAGTATATTAAAAGATACAAGCTGAAAAATAACACTCTAAATAGTGTTATTGATAGAAATTCGAACAAGAATATTTAACAAAGAAGATACGTCCGAAGGGGCCGAAGTTATGACCGGCGAAAGGTATGGGCAAACATTTTACTAAAACTATCGATAGAAATTAGGAGATATTTCTTCACTGAATCGAACAGTGGGATTTTCATATAGGCCTATCATGTTCTGAACCAAAGATACTTGATAGATATTATATACGAACCTCCAAAGTATAAACAAGGGGCCGGTTGATGCAGTAATTATCAAATAACTGTTAAACTCTTATATACCCGTTGAATATGTATAGTTGTAAACAAATAAAAACTATCGTTCTATAAGGTTCAAAACTTTCAGTTTGGTTGTTGACTGATGATGAATCTATAGTATAGACTTGCATGCTTTGTATTTTGAGCTTATTAAACCACCATTTTAAGGCAGCTAAACGGGCGGCTTGGTTTATATTAAAGGCTGCACATAAAATAAATTCCTTGATTCTCATCGCTAGACACAGTCTACACTTTGAAATGTCGAAGACAGTGGGAGATTTATTTTTTATATTTTATATTTATATAATTTATATATCAATAGTTCGTATCTCCACGAACAATGACAGAATGACTGAGTTTCTTTAAAATACAATGAAATTTCATTCAAAATTCTGTTTGTTTGAAATTGGAAGTTTAAATTGGCACTAAAAACCCTATATAAAATATAAAAAAATTAACTGTCTTGAATTATTTTGTCGGGCGGTACATTTATATTGTATAACGAAATATAAAACATTTTCACGAGGATTTTAAAATTCAGTCGGGCGGTGATGAGAATCAAGGAATTTATTTTATGTTGGGCAGTTGGGACTTGGGAGTGGCTAATTTTGAATATTTACTTAATTAATGCATCTATAAATAGCGTTGATGCTTCAGGGGCGGTAGTTCATTTACACCCAGTTTTGCGGCAGGCGGTATTTCCTACGTACCGCCTGCCATGCAGGCTAG